TACTGACAGGTTTCTTCAGTTGTGTATTCCCATAGGAGAGCTTCATAGACCTGTGAGAGGTTTTTCGTTCGGAACAACATGGACGTTCTGATCCTTTGATCTGCAGTAAAGTTTCAAAACAAACATTATCAATTCACACACCCCAGCATGCGTCGTCTTAAGTATATACGATTGTAAGTTGGAAAGCACACGTAGTACTTTCGAAACCGTTTTGATAAGACCACTCACAGTGAAGCCGAAAAGTGCTAGGAAGGGTAGAAAAAGGTTCTATGATTAATTCAGATATAAAAAAGGGTTTCAAAAATACACTCCGACCATATACCCCTGAGATTCAGCTGGAATAAACTCCATTAAGCCACAAAAGTAGGCAATTGTAAGCAGAGCTGTTTTTCATCGGAGAGACTACACCAGGTAAAGATGAATTTAAAAGACAAGTATGACGAGTTTATTGACCATCATCTTCAGAAAAACCGCCCAAATAACAGACTTTATTCTAGCGAATATATACTCATCTGGAAACTAATTTTGTTCTTTCGAGAGACTCACCTGGAACCCAGCTGAATCTCTCGTTTATGATGTTCTCAGGCAACTGAATGTGCTGCACCAGGCCGCCTCATGTTTCAGTCGCTACGATTTTTGAAATATCGCGATACACGTATATTTGTAATGTACTACTCCTAAGGTTATTGAAAATCCATCGACAGCCCACGACCGGTCTCGAATTCCTTTTCCGACGAGCATAAAACACGCATAAAACACATAAAACAAGCTTTCATACCCCACGCACATTTTTGGGATTTCGATGGCTCGTGGTGACTGCTAGACAAGACACGCGACCTGCCAACCAGGTGAGGAGCAGGGCATGTCCCTCGATCACACAGACCCAAGGTTTCTAGAGTTTGAAATGAGTTCAAAACTTCTAATGCTTAAGACTGCTCCTAATTATGTTTGTTTGTATCACTAAATTGTTTCAATCTTTCGCGCATGTTCCGGGCAAACTAACAACAGTCAAGCAGTTAGTAGTTGACCTCAGCAGTTGTGAAATTCCCCAACAACATATGGCGCATTTGTTGACTACATAATCAGTGGAATACAGACAAACGGCTGAAATAGTAGGCTGTTGCCTGAGAACATCACAAAAGAGAGATTCAGCTGGGTTCCAGGTGAGTCTCTCGAAAGAACCAAATTAGTTTGCAAATGAGTGTATATTCGCTAATTTCGTGCAATTTGGTTTCAAGTAGAACATAAAGTTGACGGAAACCCGGGGACTGCGCCTACCTGATGAGCCCCAAGAAGGGCGAAACCGGTCGTGGGCTGTCGATGGATTTTCAGCAACCTTATGAGTAGTACGTAGACTTTATTCTAATTTCTAGCTTCTTGGACAGTACTGAGGTTTTTAAGTTTCTTGGCGAAAGGTGAGAAATTTTACTGTGGTTTATGAGCGACTGTCTCGTGACTGTCTCAGAAGAATTGGAAAACGCCTGTAATGGAATGATTCAAATTAGTGGATGAGATTGAACGTTACTCATGTACAAGTTGAAAACCCATGAAAACATAAACTATACCCAATAGTAAGAAGCTATTTTGAAGAAAGTAATGATCTTCTACTATGTTGTGGAAATGGTGCATGAGACAAGCGATCGGAGGCTACCGTAGTAGGAAGTAATGCTGCCTTCCCACCAAACAGGCAAGCCTTTTCGTGAAGAGGAAAGGTGACTTGTAGAAATGTGTGACAGCTATCTACAAGACGATAAGACACTGGCAATGATACACCTCCAGCGGTTGGGAATCATCGATACTGGGACCTAGGTATCGTTTCACTTATACGGCCCGTAAAATCAACCCAGTTGTCCGGTATTTACCAATAATCATCTACAATAAAATTGTCAATCTCCTACGGTAACCCTAAATGCGTAGACCAAAAGTGTAGCAGTTTAAATAAGGATGCGGAAGCATTTTTATAAATAAAGCACCCGTCTTTTGTCCTGGCATGCATACTACTCATAAGATTGCTGAACGCTCTTCAACGGACCGATTTAGCCTTCCTTAAGAATCATCATCTAGGCGTAAATGACGAGTTTCCAATAATCTTACGTCAATTTCTGATTTCCAAGTTATATGGTGTTGGAGAACGACTTAGCTGAATCTCGTGCTTGTGAAACTGATACGCTTCAAGCAAGGCAATCTGGCACTTGGCTATCAAAGAATTTGCTAGAACGGTTTGTTTTGAATATCTGGTTAGTCTGGAGATAAGGCGGCTTTTATACAGCACATAGGGCTAAGGAATACTATAAACGAAGGTCACCATCCAATCCGTGGTTAACACCAATTAAATCCGCAAATGATTGCCAAAAGCACTCACCTAATTTTTTTGCTGTTTCACCACCATGTTATTTTTGCCACTTAGGAAACAATGAAAATTTCACATGTTTGTGGAGGTCTCTATAAGCGGGCACATTAGAGGAACGGTGTTTTTCTGGATACGTTTGGCCGTAAAAACCCATTAGTCATCACTTCGAACCTCACATTTCCAAGGTCACTTTTACGATATTTTGCGGTGCGAAGCTGAATCATCTCGCTAAAATCGTGTACCTAAACTTGACAGATTGCTATTGCATCAAGTCACTACCAACATTCAACGTCTTAATCACACGGACAAGCAAATAGCAAAAGATGAACGACGCCAAAAATTAGCTCTGGGAAGATGAAACTTTAGCTCGATTTTGCCATCGCAGTGCGAGGTGAATTCAAGAATTTTTCTAACAAAATTTTTTTCGGTGTTTTATCGGGTGGTTTGAGGTCAGTTACTCGTTGTTTTTTGTATAACACAACTGGCCTTATCCAAAATTGCAATGCAATCTGTGAAATACAGGGTTTTTCGTGTACACTGGATACGCGGTCAGAATAGGGGACATTACTGAAGAATAAAAGAATTGTCCAGGGAACACGACTTCACAGCCGTTTGTAAAATGACTGTTAGCTTGTCCAGAAATGAGTTATCTTTAGGAACTCTTTCAAGCTCACTATGAGGTCTTCTGGAAAGTGACTGTTCTTAAAAGTGTCTTGCTATGTCCCGCAGACTATCCCTGTGGCGATAGGAGTCAACTGAAGGCAACTTTTCCCAACTCGTTTGAAGCCTTATCTCTCTCAAACTGTGTTTGAATTAAATAGCTTTTTGGCAATGCTACATCAGTGACTGCTGACTGCAGCCCCCTTGGGAGACACCAAAACACACCCGTCGAGAATACTAACGACGCCAGATAGTCATCTACTGTATCGACCTCCGCAACCGCGAACGAATAACATACACATAATTACTGACTTTTCGATGAGTGAAGCAACTCAAAACCAAATCACGGAAGGAACTGTTTGGGAACAAGCTGGAAGGAATGAAGGTCCATCTTTTGTGATTATCCCTTAGATACGGAAAAGTTGGACAGCAGTTACCATACGTAATCCACACAGAGCCTTGCTCTCCTCGCAATGACAAACTACTTAAATTGGCGGAAATCACGGGGAGTCTTGTTGTCTTCTCCTTATTAGCCGTCATATCAATTCCGGGACTAAATCCCTCTTTTACTTCCTGTCGACTCTGAATATAAATGACTTTGCAAGCCCCTCACCACTTAATGCAGCACAGCAACCATCCTAAAAGCTGCACCGACTTTGTGTGTAAAGACGTATGAGTTAACTCTTGTTGAGCCAAATATTTGAATGTTATGGGAAACTTAATTTTTGTGAACCGGATTTGGGACAAGGGATGGTTGATAAAAATTTCGAATAGAATGGAAAGTTGGAGGCTCTTTCCAATTTATTTGATTATGCAATTCGATCTTTGCCTCGGACGCGGATTTATCTGCCGTGGTCTTTTTGTAAAAAGTTACGGGCAGCAAATGAGAAAAATTTGTGCATAATGATCAATATACCCGGGTGGATAGACTAGGGATGGGGGGTGTGGACTCTGTTGATTGTTTTACTATCCTTAATGAATTAAGTGATTATCAGTGTCAACAGTATTAGGTAAGATTTTGTTAGAACATAAGCTTGTCCGGCATTGAGCACTGATTTCAACGGATTTTGAGATACGGCTATGTTACTGACCTTCTTCCAAGACCTTTTAAGGTTTGCCCATCCCCTATCAAGACAACAAATAAAATAGCTTGCCAAGCAGTCAATTTGCGCAATAGTGCGGGAAAGTGATCGCACATAATTCGAACGGCATTTGGTACAGAGATATAATACGTGCGCCAAAAAGGGCACAGTTCGATCGGGAAATGTCCACGAAAGTACACCATTCGAATCGATTTTGACGCGTAGAAGAAAAGAATGTGTATAACCGTGAAAGATATGCAGCACAGTTTCCGTGCCTGCATACATGTACAAAAGTTGTCCCAAGTGTATGCGTGTACGCACAAACGTACAGACATCGCTTCGGTCTTCTGTGTTCTGCAAGTGCATTCAGCTCCTGAAAACGGTTGGAAAGCTGTAAGGATGTCACATTTATTACGGGTTTACTGCCACAGATCGATTGGGTTTCTTTTTCCTGGCAGACAATAGTAACCGACCCTATCAGGCGCTCGTGAATACCACTAGCTTGACCAAAATAACCGGGAGTGATACAGTCCAGGTTACTAAGGACAATGGGTGGGTTGTCGATTGTGCCTTGTCCTACGGTTCCATTTGGTCAGGAAAACTTTCGACAGCAAACGACGATTGGTCAGTCCTACTCGTCCGCTCGTTCGACCGGGGTGGGTCACTTGCACTTCACACATTGTGTGGGGTAATGTGTAGCTCCATATGACGGGTGCCCACTTCCACCTCACTAAAACAGAAACCTGCAGTCGGTGTGCGAGTGTGTATGTGCGTGCGGACCATGTGCGGATGGATGCGAACATGAATGAACGGTATTTGTTAGTGCATGCCGCACAAACCGCACACCAGGCTGGTGTATGTCCCATTTTCGAGACCCACTCTTCCGCCCACACGAAACAGGTTTCAATATTTGCCTTTACCGGTCCCTATCCTCGCCGGCTGGCGTCCGCACAGTTTCTAACCTGAGCATCTCGCTTTTCTGCCGAACGCATTTTTGAATACGTCTCCACGTGTTTCATGAAGTGAAAATTGTTCAACTCCAATCGTTTCTCTCTCGGAGTGCTCACTTTCGTAAAGAGTTGGAGATTTCTATTCAAGACAATTATTGCACATCGTCAGCTCAAATCAGCGTAGCACCATGAGTCACGAGTCGGAATCACACGTCAAAATTTCTCGTACAATCTACCGCGGTGTGTCGCCCAGCACTTCACGTTTGGAAGTAAGTTGTATCACCAAAAAGTAGAGTAGTCTAAATGGCTGATGTTAATCATGACTGGAAAGCCGTGACAAATGATGGAATGATTTTTTGAACACCTACTATCGGTTCCGTTTCCTGTATTCCAGAGTCGTGTGCGTGAACTTGAAGACATGCTTGATCTGGAACGCGATGCGCGAGTCCGGGTAAGTTAGTTGTCCTAATTCACATTGAGCACGGTGTCGAATATCTTCACAGCCTCGTTTCGATATGTGTGCGAACATGTTCCGCTCGGTGTACAGTACTCCGGCAGAGCTTGGGTTTCATTCTCATTAACGAGACAATATTAGGCTAATGTTCGATAAGCGATCTAGGCCTGTCCACCCCAATTTACCGAGCGTATTTATCATGGATTTGTATGAACTGGAAACTGTGTGAATATAAGCAGATTAAACTAGAAGGTTTTGAGTGCCTGTGTCCGCTACAAACTATTGGCAATCGTAAGATGTTTGTGTTAAGATGGTCTATTGAGTTCGGCACGGTCACATTATAGTGAAAGTTATTGCACCATCCTACGCATGTTTGCTTATTCCAAGAGTTATTCACTAGGCCGTATGGTTGTGCATGTGCTATTGACACCGGCCATTAGGTACTCTTAAATACTCACAACTTAGTCCTGTAGTGCTTTCGAATCACATTTGAAACTTCCTGAACTGGTACCACTCAAATTTATAGCATACAAGTTGAGTCTCCGTGTGACATTTACACAGTATTCACTTCAACTGAAAATGTCTATGCCTCGACTCAACTACTCAGAAGATATCTATAGACTGTACTTCTGGTTCGCTAGAATGTTGTCTTTTGGGACATACGAAAAGTTGTACTTAGCCATCAAAGTTAATTGTCAAACAATTTATATCTATATTAGAATGGCGTGATTGTCACACCTGAGTGGTGCGAGACTTAGTTGAGTTTTGCATACTCAAGCATCCGATTCCATCACATGAATAAATTGGCTTTTCTGTTGGACTTGTGTAAATTAAAAATCACTGCTACAGTAGTCCATTGTAAGAGAATCCTTTCTGCGATCCTGGAATGCCTCAGGGATGGTGGTGCTTCACCTTGGGCGACGTAATATTGATAATTACATCACATGGTTTTTTGTTGCCGGGGTAAGACGAATTTAGTTGTATCTGGGTGTTTCAAAGGGATTTTTCACGATTAGGACAAGACAGTTTACTCCGTCTGGGATGGAAACACGGGCCATTTAGTGATTTCGTATAAGTGAGATAATGGGTGTGCACACTCGCCACCAGTCCCAATAGTCTAGGTCATTTAGCATGGGTAGTCTTCGTTTCACGTTTCTAAGCTGAAGACAACCATATACCGTGATGACCTTCGATTAAAACCAACCAAAACAATGGCCAATTTGGATGTTCGATAGGCATGAAATGATTATGTGTCGCTCTACATCATGTATTACCTTTGTTCAGTCAGTAGGTCAAGAGTAATTTTTTGCATCAAGCTGTGGCGGGAATGCCTTGCAGACTGAAATGTGGTCTCCACCGGGAAATAAATCGGCAGCGCATTGACTGACAGCATATCTAATCCTCACTTCCTGGGGGTTTATTTTCTTAAGCGGGGACTACAGTTAGGAAGGTTTACGTGGCGCCAAAAGTGTCCTTCCAACAGAGATGTTTTTTCTTCCGGGATAAAACTCCTAATCAATAGTTTAGTATGAATGTTTCCTTTGAGTTGACCGAACTGTATCCTTTTCAGGCTGAACGACATGCCGCTGACATGAGCTTCCAAGTAGACGCACTCAGTGAAAGACTTGACGAAGCTGGAGGAAGTTCAAGTCAGACGGTAAGTTTTTAGTTTTAGCGAACTAGGTTTCTATCCACTGGTCAACATTGTCGTTTGGTCAACTTATTTTTTGCTGTCAGCTAAGCAAAAGGGTTAACGTAGGAAATACTTTGAGTAATAAGTATGCTACTTGTTCATCATCCGGCTGTGGCATTTTTCGTTGTGCGGCCACTGGGAAACCAGAGATTAGATTGCCAGAGATTAGATTGCCAGACTATCCGAGCCGAGCAAAGGACAAGTCTAACTATTTTCAAAACCCATGTTTCGATAGTCATCTGCATGGTTTTTGCCAATTAATTGAATGATGGATTTACAACGGCTAAAAAGCAGTTGCATCAGGAAGACGCCTTTCATAAAGACCCATTTTGAATTAGCTGCCTTCCAGACCTCTCAGACAAGATTTCATTTGAAAAGCAGACGAAATTAGTGTTAACACGGTTATTTACTGCTCACTTCTAAAAGTATACTAATGTAGTTAAGACTTCTCAACTCTTAAGGTTTAGCGCCCAGTGCTTGGGCTGTTCAAGCCGGAATAGTGTTCCAATTATTGAGAAGAGAACAGTCGGTCAGGCTACTTTTCTGAGGTTAATTACAGTTTCGACATCAAGAACGATTTGGCATCTAGCTTGTGCATACTGTGAGGGATAAAGCTCAGTGCGAAAAAAAGTCACATTATTTTAGAATCCTCTTGTGGCTAAAATGAATTAAAGTTATTTTACTAAGGTGATGCCGAGGGGTTCGAAGGTGTTCCGAATTCAGCAACTGCGCACTGACAATAACTGGTGAAGAAAACTTTGCAAGTCTACTGCCTAGCTCAGCGAACAGATCAACAGCCACCTAATCAACAGCTAACTTGTAAGTCTGTGACTAATACACAAAAAATTAATCAGCCTAGCTTTTTAATTTCATATGTCAGCAACAGTTTTTAAAAGGACTCGACAATGGTTGCTGTGACTCAAGAAGTGGTAAGAATGGACAGCTACAGATGTTTCCACAAACAGAAATGACTATAATTTTGAGCGCGACACTAATCCTTGAGTGCTTGATTGCGCACGTGACGAGAGGCTGGTACACCCAGAAGTTGATTTTTCGGGCTATTGTGAATTAGCAATATGTCAATGTGTTCGTCGAAAGGTCAATTTTTCTGGCTGCGCAAATACGTAGCCTTTTTAATAAGGAAATTTGTCATCGCGAAAAGAATCCAGAGAATGAGTGATTAGTTTGGTAACTGAAGCTGATCACTCATCACATACCCTTGTTTGCATACGAATCTGAGTTTTACTGGCGACTCAACCGAATCTAACCAAATCTCTCTTTTATAGTGGTTAAGGAGTTATCAGCAAACTTGTGAGTAGTGCGTATAGACAACAAAACTGGCCGTATTTGACCGGTCTTATGATAGAGGAAAGAATCCAGATCACGGTTTCAGAAAACCAAAAAAACAAATACGGATCAGTAAGCCGTACTGTGGTTGTGCGACGGTGAAGCACAACTGTAAACAAGGATTTTTCTGTCTATGTTTGATTGATTAATGACACTAAGCAGTCATTACGACTTTGCTAAATTCAACCCATTGTTCCCATTTTAAAAGCCATTTTTGCCCACCATGTCAGTTCTGAGACGGACAATAAGGGGCATTAAATTCTCGTTCTATGTGACAGCACTACCGATAGTTTATGTGTTAGTCTGACAACTGTTTATAAACTGTACTTGATATGGAAACCACAGTATGAACTTTCATAGTAAATATAGATAGGCTAAACTGGTAGGATAATTAGGAAAGGTGGGCGTTTCTCATTTCGTTTACATCACTCATGACAACTTTAGGGGAAGTACTCCTAAGGCGGCATCTTGTCTTTTGCGAGCCACACCTTCCAAAATGGATATCCTTCTCAGCAACCTGTGTAGAAATACTGTCGCCTTCGTAATTAATCAAGGATTAACCTCTAATCTAACCAAGATCACGTAAGTACCATTTTCCTTCAAGTAAACGCAACGATCAGTCTGTTTCTAAGCATCATAAACCCGAATTTATGATTTACTTGTCAAAAAGTGTCACTGTAACTTTATACTTTAGTTAGTACAGAACTTCGCTACATGTTTTTCACTGTAATTCAGAATTATGCCGAACTAGAGGTATTCCAGTGTGCTTCTTGTTAGTAAGTTGACAAAAATACAGTCTGAATCAAGCGTGGAGTGGTTTATGTTGCTCATCCCGAGAGATAAATAATTCTGATTGAACGAGGCAAGCACTGGTACAGTTGTGGTTCGGTTGTAAGGACACCGCCTCTGTTTTGCGAGATTCAGTCATAAGCTAAAGCCTTGACTTCCATGCAATGATTAGTACCATAAACCTTGCTGGTCGGGTTGTTAGCTGACATTGACAATTTGGTTACCAGCGTTTCGTCAACAATTGAGATGACGAAACGTTTACAACAAGGCTGCCAAGCTCAGCGGACAATTTGATAACCAAATGAACAACCTGAGCTCCTAACTTTCTCTTGAATATCATTCCATTAGGCCTTCTTAATTAAGTGGTAAATCCATTAGGATTCCAAAAAACTAGTTCATTAAATCTATTCGTGAGAATGAAATGGACAGGATATAAGTAGAAATCTGTCCAGATGATATTCCACAACTCCGTTTTCCAAACCAGTAAGCTGCTAATAAATTTGAACGTTCTGGGTTTGTTTACTAAAAACAACAGGCATTTCTGGGAAATTTTAGACTCGTCACATTAGTGTACTTTTTTGTTTGCGGCACGCCCAGCTGGTGAAGTTCGTTGACTAAAAACATCGGAGTGTACCGGTGCATCGACCGAAATAAGCAAACTGGAGGCCAATAGTCGTGTCCAGGTCCCATAAATGCCAGCGTGCCTGTGTGCATTTTGTCAATCGACCTGCCCATCTGTTCATCCTAACCGCCTAATATTTACCTATACACGCCCACATACACTACCGCACATTCCACGCTCTGCTTTTCCTCGCAACCCCATGCTGTGCCATCGCATGTGCTAACCTGTTTCATGTATGAATGCACATCGCTGTCACCCTGACAATAGCTACCTAAGCTGGGGTTCAGACAGAAATCACTACTACGTGTTTCGTGGCATGGCATTGCTACGCTACAATGCGCTGGTGGCAGAAGCATTCATGTCCAGTTTTAGAAGTTAAGGTTTCCAATCGATGTGACGTTGGAACAGCAGTTCCAGTTTACATAACGTACTGATTGGCCATATTAGCCTCCTAAACTGGAAGAAAGAAAAACCCAAATAAGGGCTAAAAATAACGATAAAGTATAACCTCGAGACTGCGAAAAGTCAATTTAGAAGACAATTATTAGCCGAAGACTTTGTGGTTGCTAAGCTTACAGTAAGATACGTCTTCTGGACAAGATAAATATCACGAAAATTGTGCTAAAACTAGAAAAGAGACAGGAACACGGGGAACATTAATTAGCGAGCGTGTCTTCAATGTATGTACGTCAAGATGCCCGGCATGATCTATGGACGTATTTTGCGAAAGTCAGAAACTACATACGGAAACGGCATGATATATATGGACCGAGGGAAACAGCAAAGTAAACCGATAGTTTAGAACCTCGTTTGGTTCCAAAATGTAACAAGGTAGTTTGCATTAGCATACACTGCCGGCTTCCAGAGGAAACATTGTGAAAATAAGTTGCTTTTTCCAATTTTTAATGTAAGATGGAAAACTAATTGTACGTAGTGTTGCATTTATACTCCTCATCTGTTTGTGTTGGCCAAATAACAATACGACATTGACTCAATGGGCCTAATCCGTCGAAATCAACTCCTTCACGAAGAGGATAAAATGATAACCTAGTTTTGAGACATGCAAGCGCTAGCTTGGTAGTCAAAATGGAAGAATTGGAGAATCAAATTGTCCTTCTAGATGTCAGTACTACACGGAAGTACAGATGGTTCCCAAAAGTTGGCTGGGAAATCTGTTTAAATGCAAGCGACTCTGAACTGATCCTCAAGGGCTTTGTCGTGCCAATTAAAACGCTTATTCGGCAAACAGGTGCCTCAGCATATGGAATTGTCAACCTTCATTATTCTGCGTTTGATTCAAGCTGCATGTAAACGTTCTTGGTCTTGGCTTTTCTGTGTGCCAGGGATACACGGAAGCGACTGTTTTCTATTTGCCTGCGGCAAGGAGTTGTGGACGAACACCACGGTACAGTATGTTTAATGAGCTACCGATACAACAAGACTGATCGTTAATCGGATGATAAACAAGCCTTTTGTGTCCCCTCAATATTGCACATGGTAAAGTCCGTAGTATATTAAAAACAGGTATAACATTATAAACAAGGATAAAACAATTTAATAATGTGATACACTATGCATAGTATTTCTAAAAGCTCTTCAATGGCCCATGCACAGTTTCGCCATTTTGGGGCTCATCAAGCGTGTGCCGTCCCTGAGTTTCGATCAACGTAATAAGCAAAGAGTAACCAAGTTCACTCTAACAGAACTGCCCAAGTATAGATGAAAAGTAAAAGGACAATCCCAGCTTGATAGCCAAACGTTGGTGCTTTCTAGCCTTATGGGAGAATTACCGTTTCCCCCCTGCAACGTACAATATGTCTTAAGTGGTTATGAGTGGACTCCTCGTTTTAAAGATTCCCTACAACTCGGACAACACATATAAAGTTCGGTAAGAGGTGGGTGGACAGAACGAAATAAACCAACGGAGCGATACTATTATGATGACTTCTGGTTATTCTATTGTATTTTAGCATGAGCTTCTTAAGCGTCGTGAGATGGAAATTGCGAAGCTACGAAAAGATTTGGAGAACGCGAATGCCTCATTGGAAATGGCTGAGACTTCAATGCGCCGAAGGCATCAGACCGCGCTGAACGAACTTGCCGCTGAAGTGGAAAACTTGCAAAAGCAAAAGGGAAAGTAGGTTTCACCGAGTCGAATAATTGTAGTTTATACTTTTATTTTGGTGTACAGTTTCCTAGAAGAGAATATTTTTGTGCGGTACAGTGCAGTTGAAATGTGGGTGATTTCCTGCAGTCGGATTTTCATTCTGTCTAGTTTGAGTAATAAATTATGCTTGGTAAACCTTTGAATGGTAAGTTCCACGAAAAACAAACCATAAGAGCAACCAGATGTCCCTCCGCAACTTTACGAAGATGAGCTAGAGATTTCTTGGCTAGCGGACGATATGTCTGGAATAAACCGGTTTAGAAAACCGAGTAAATTTTAGTACAACCAGTTTATGTGAATTACTCAGTGTTATACAATGGCGACAATCCTTAACGAGGCAGTCCTCTTTACATCTGAAGAGTAAACTAGTGCATTCTCCCACTAGACTAATTTTCATGTCTACCTACTTGTTATGGGACCAAGCAAATCACTTCTAACCTTATAGACAACTCAGTCTCAAATACCGTTGTCCATTCCACAGAATGAAAAGCGAAAGTCCTCATATGGTGATCCTGACGATGCGACTTTGACGAAGGAGGAGTTTGTTTCCTGCTTTGTCACGATTAGACTCCTTTTGTGATTTGATCTTTCCTGATAGCTGATTCGTCGTAACTGGCCAACTGCCCTACGAATTTCTTACGGACAGTTGGCTGTCCAAACTTTTCCGATGGATACTTTAATGCCGACGGTCACTTTTGGGTTTGATGCAAACTGTGTTCATCTCGCATAAAGGGCAAAGGAGTCATACGGAGAGGTCACAAAGTCTGTCTGGTGTGTATCCGAACCGGAGGAGGGTTGTATGTTGCCCTTCGCTCAAAACAAAATATAGGGGTCCAAACGAAAATAAGGTGATCCGCAATCTACACCATGTTGTATCACGTGAAGAGATTGGGATTAACCAACATAAAATCCTAAACTAAACCCAAGTTGGAGTTGCTGAATTCTTCGGTGAAAACCTATGCCATCAACCTCCAATTGTGCTAGGTCGTCGCAGAAATTTTCCAACCGTGGCATCGTCACCGTTTTTTATGAGAACCGTTAATATAATTTTGGGTTTGCATATGGCAGCCGTCTCTGATCTATACCAATCTTCGTTTTTTCTCCAGGGCCGAAAAAGACAAGAACAGTCTCATTATGGAAGTGGACAATGTTCTTGGACAACTGGATGGGGCATTGAAAGCAAAGGTGAGTTGCAACGTGTGGTTTTAGTAGGCATTATTTTCAGTTTACCCCACATTGATGGATCATGCAGTTTTACCAAGTAATGCTTCATCAGACTGAGCTGGCCCTTAAATTCATCCTCTCTAACTCGGTATTACATTGTCTTAACGCATTTATTCATCATTCTAATCCATTACAATTCAAATTTTGTTGTATTCCTGGCAGTATGAAGTCTTCGTAACAAAGTCTCTTTTTCCCCGTTTTAGCAATCGGCAGAATCCAAGCTGGAGGGTTTGGATGCACAACTTAGCCGATTGAAAGGTTTAACAGATGACTTGCAGCGGCAACTGAATGACCTGAATGCAGCCAAAGCCCGCCTTACATCCGAAAACTTTGAACTCCTGCATGCAAATCAAGAATACGAAGCACAAGTCCTCAATCTCTCCAAAGCAAAGTCTTCACTTGAGAGCGCCGTTGATGACTTGAAGAGGTCACTTGATGATGAAGCAAAGGTACGTCTTGCTGACGTCACTTGCTCTTCTATGCAACTTTGATCTATACCTGAAGTTTGAGAAATGTATGTGACAAATTACGAGTATTGGTACAAAATTAATCAAAATCATTCGACGGATTACGGTAGCATCTTAAGTGTAGCGAACTTTCCGCAGATTGTGTGATTGGATTTCAATATATCCTACTGAAGAAATGGGTGTGCTCACGACGAATGTGGTTGTCGCATAGTACACATTTTCCTCCTATAGTGATTGAGTAGCAACGCCCTCGTTTAGCCCTCGGTTATCGAAATGCCAGAATCTTGGCATCGTTCAATCATTTGGAAGTGCCTTGTTCATTTGCGTTTCGTTAAAAATTCAATGTTTCCGTTATATGCGTCATTTGAGATGGACAAACTAGAGACAGCAGTAAGAACAAGACCATAAACATGGTCTACTATGATATAGTTCATTTGAATGAGTTAACAAGACTCTTTTCAGCTCATGTTTTAATATCTTCCGTAATATCTTCCAGTGAACGTCTTAACTGGTTTATTGGCATAATTTCCAGTCTGAGTTGCTCCATCAAAAACTGGTCTTACTTGTTAAGCTCTGCTTTTGGGCAGAATGTTGCTAGCCCGGGAAGCGTTGATGGTCGTTGGTTCATTCGCTGAGCTGAGCTGAGCTGAGCAATTTGATTGACGCTCCGTTACGTAACTTTCAGCTTCCTACCGGCACACTGATGTTGTGACTTGGATTGGTTCGGAAAAGTTCGCAACCAAATTACCAAGCTCAGCGAACATCTCTGCTGAATTTCATTGTTAAGTTCTCAGCTCTCGGTGGCACTCACAAAAGTGCATGGTTACGGAGGGAAAAGTGGGCATAACAGTTGAGCAACTACTGTTAGGCTCTAACGAGTTCTGCATGTAACGCAGACGTTTAAAAAAATAGCTGGAAATGTCGACAAGAAGTACTGTACTCCTGTTTCATTCCCATTTGAGATTGGTCCCTTGAGTTTGCCTAAGGTTGGCACATGCTTGCAAATTTCTGTATAACAGCATAACAAACTACCGTTAAGCGTCAGGTGGTGAATTTGCAATGTGACTGATATATAGCAAGCTAAACGCACAATTTAATCGGCAGTACACCTCAAATGCTTTGGCACAAATTGGCGGCTCGAGCAAAAACCTCCCGAAAGAGCATCTTCGGGTATTTGTGTTCTTTAGCACGAAGTAACCACAACCTATGCTATTACCTTCCAGGCATTTCGTCATACACCCTCAGTACAAACTAATCGCATGGCTGTAGATAGGTCCTTTAGCACTACAAATCCGTATTCCTCATCCAATTTCCACAGAGCCGATTCAACCTCCAAGCTCAACTGACCTCATTGCAAATGGACTACGATAACCTGCAAGCAAAATATGAGGAGGAGAGTGAGGAGGCCAGTAATTTGAGAAACCAAGTTTCCAAATTCAATGCTGATTTGGCTGCGATGAAATCGAAATTCGAACGAGAGCTCATGTCAAAAACTGAGGAATACGAAGAACTCAAGTGAGTGATTCATAAAATGGCCTCAAAAAGCTTGTCAATGTTTTTAAGCACCTTCAGTGGTCTGAGCTTCCAGGGAGGAATTCCATCAGTTTATTCTGTAGGCCATATACTCTTGTGCCGAATGATGCTAAAGATGGCGGCGAGGAAGAAACTATCAGCTAGGCCACCGTTTTGATGGTAAAAATTGCTCCAGAAAGTACTCTTTTGCTAAGTGAGTCTTAATTAACTACACATACGAAGGAGCTCCTTCCATGGGCATGTCCGAAACCAGGGGTGTTCTTGCTCCAAGTCCCGATGGACGATAAGTCGCCACAGCTAATATCGAAGGAGATGATCAAAGCTTGTTTTTTAACCGCTAGGTGCAGTGTGCTGTTGCATTGTAAGACAAACATCTACATGTTTCTTTCGAGATGTGACTTAATAACGCCCCGTAGATTTATAGAAGAATTTCTGGATTATGCCTAACTTTTTGTGGTGACTCAAGCTTAAGAAGATGTTGCTTACAAAAACACACATCAGCCTACACTCTCTTACAAAGTTTGTCACACTGTTCGTCCCCCTTGGGGATAGTCAAGTGGACATAGAAATGTTGGTCATCTGCCTCGATTAGCAGGTTTCACTGTCCGGGCGCAGCTACACGCGATCAACGAAAGCCAGGGCCCTCATTGCATGCCCGGAAAATGTATCATTTGACAACCGTTTCGAGAGACTGAAACAGTTGTGAGTATTCAGGTGGTTGTTTCAAAACAACTCGCCATCCTCATACACAATTTGGCCTGATAAATTCCGCTGTAGTCTAGACTTGGACATTACGATCAACAGTTCAGTCAAGTCGTCGAATAAACGCGCTGAATGAAACAACTGATGGATTGCGTTTTAAGTATTGACAATATTCTGACTGTTGAATCTCAGCTTGAATTACAGAATACATTAGCTAATAAGAAGTTGAGGCCGCCATATGGAAATTATTGGATAACTATTCGACTTCTCCCAACCAGTAAAGTTCCCCAGGGCAAGATATTAGCAGATGATACGACTTTATCTCATGCGAATGGTTGTAAATTGCCTCATTCAAGTGAAACTGAGTAAATCATCATCATCATCATCATCATCAACTGAGTAAAGCCAGTATGCTGTTGAAGTTGGAAGTATTCGGTGGCAAATTCAATTTCCGGCTTGGGGTCTTGTTAATCTGGTTGATATTGGAGACAGTCCAGTGGTTGTGCACAAAACTGAATGCTTTAAATGCCTCTTAGTGCAAGTGTAGTTTTCGGAGGACCACCTGGTTGCTGTTCCTAACAAAAATTCAGTACAATGAAGGATCTTGATTCTTTGGCTGCAATTAGAGTAGCTTACAGATGAGTAACAAGCAACTGATCTGTCGACATTCAGCTACATCGATGTTCCTTCGTTTATGTGTCGAATTTAATTGCTGGGTATTATTACAGGTTAAGTGGCTTGCCATTGTTTCTGGAATCGATAAATGAGTGCGGGCTTTAGTCACCTGGTGATCAGCTAAAAACGGTGAAGTTGATCTTATGAACATTTGCTCCATTCACCGTTTCCTTTTTACAAATTTTGTAGTGTGTGGTCTATGGGATTAGCTGTACGGACGTCAGTGTTCGATTAATCCGCAAAAATTTCAGGAGTATGCTATTGGTGGGGCATTTTTACAGTGTTCGTTCTGATTCGTTGCTGCGTCAGGCAATCGATAAATCTGCACGCTACACATTGGTTTCCAGACTACCCTTCGGTCTGGGCTGAAGATAGACTGCGAAGAAATTGTTTTGCTTGGTGAATCACCACTTTTCTGATTCTTTTGTAACTAGACTTGTGGCGGTATGACTGTACAGGATGCCGTCATTTCCCAAATGACCATTCTTCCAAGTGACAATGCATTCGAAGAATCCGCTTTCGGTTAGTTTTTTGCGCCACACAATGCTGAGATGAAACAAAACCTGCCCCTAATTCTCTCAGCATTATGCAGGTCTGCCCTAATAGCGACACCTGAACGCCAAGTTGACAGACGTTCTTCTGGATAGGGGAAATGGGGGAACCTTCTCAATTTGTTGGTAATGCAGACGTTCAAGTATGAAGACAGTGAACGTTAAACACGCCTGCAGAATTTCTAGGACATTTAGGACAACAATGCGCACTATTTCACAATGTTAATTATAGGTTCTTCCTCGAGGCTAGATTCTAAGTTTTACGACCAAGTTTTCCCTGCAAGATTTTTGTAATCTACTGTCATTAGGATTAGGTATAGGTGACCAGTTTTGAGGTCATTCCACTTGCCTGGATGATGGTAAAGTTCACTCGCCCTGTATTTACTTATTTAGGCGCAAGTTGACGCTCCGAATCACAGAGTTGGAAGATACCGCAGAACGTGAACGTGCCAGAGCGTCGAACCTGGAGAAGATCAAGGCCAAGCTGACCATCGAAATTAAGGACCTCCAAAATGAAGTTGACAGCGTAAGTGACCAAAGTTAAAGACTGTCTAGTTGGTCGATGATTGTTGCCTAATAAAAATGCTGTATAAGCCGAGCAATATCTAATTTAATTAGCAATGTAAGCGCGTGAAAGCGCATGGTGTAGTAGTATAGAGTGGGCGGTATAACAGACCTGGTGAAATAGGTTCGGTGCCACTCTGACTATTTCAGTCGTTGAACGGCGCAGTACTCAAAACGGTGGCATCCCTGAAGACGTGACACACTGGAGAAATGAAAAATCAGTTGGATCGAGGGGATTAGTTTTTCGAGGTTGGAAAAGACATTCCAGTCAATCGTTTAAATTCCAACGAGGATATCAGCTAAAAAAGAGTGAAAATATCACCATGAAAAATACCTGAAACAGTCAACACATCTGCCTTGTTTCTCAGCACACTGAATCCCAGTTAAAACATAGCTCAGTGTTACCGTATTGCAAATTTTTGAAAGGCAGCAAAACGAAAATAACTAGTCAGTTATCAATTAGAATCAACAATTAATGTCATAATTCATCCACCTTCATCGGTATTCTATAGATCGATCATGCGTTTTTGTAGGTGCTCCGTGGAATTGAGGGGGTAGTCTAGCTACATCTGTTTTGTTGATCTATAAACCTATAAATGTTTGCATATCTTTAAGCGTCAGCCCCGTAAATATCTAAGTGTTAGTCTCCTCTGAGGGCACCCATGAGTTCCATGATTAATGAATTTGGAAACTGAAAACTGTGGGCGTTTTCGCCCTTGAGGTTCGCCACCAAGGTGCAGTTGGATATATAGGCGAACAAGTACACAAGTAGACACACAGCACAAAGTCAAACCTGGTATTCCCGTTTAAACATAGTTGGCAGTAATCAACTGGTGTTGTTTGAACTTGGCTGCCATTTGCAAAAATATGAAAGGGTTTTTACGCCCGATCCCGGGATAGGTTTAGTCCATTACCCTAGCAAAGACGATGTGTTCCAAGACCCACAATCTCACTATAACAGATTATTGGATATTTATATAGCTACTCTGAATATTTCGTCCCTGTACAACAGCTATCTGCTGAGAATGCTGAGCTGGCACGTCGGGCCAAGGCCGCCGAGAGCCTTGCCAATGACTTACAACGCCGTCTAGATGAGTTGACCATTGAAATCAACAATCTGCACTCGCAAAACAGCCAACTGGAGGCAGAGAATATGCGACTCAAGAGTCAGGTAAATGATCTGGTGGACAAAAATGCTGCTCTTGACCGTGAAAACCGCCAACTCTCTGGTGAGTCACCCTACGTTTATAGCAATACGAGATTAGTCCAATCGGCATTGAGCTACTTGACATAATGCTAGTAAAATTTACGTTTTGCTTCATTCACTAGATCAAGTTAAGGAGCTCAAGTCCACTCTACGGGATGCAAACAGGCGACTCACAGATTTGGAAGCTCTACGGTCTCAACTTGAGGCGGAACGGGATAATTTGGCGTCCGCTCTGCATGACGCGGAAGAAGCTCTGCGAGAAGTAGACCAGAAATATCAAAACGCCCAAGCTGCTCTGAACCATCTAAAATCAGAAATGGAACAGAGGCTTCGAGAGAAGGACGAGGAGCTAGAAACCCTTCGGTTAGTTCGTGAAATTTTTTTATACCACCTAAACGATCAGGCATTCGTTCCTAAGTTACCAGAAACCTTTCAGTTCAATTTTTCTTACCGAAGGACTTTGGCTTGTCAGTAAATCAAGCATGCCTCCAACATTTTTGCAGGAGAATCCAAACCCAACGCCAGCGTAAATCTACCACCATGCTTGTAACAATACTGACACAGATGTAGCTATACATCTGTTTTTGATTATATACCACGTTCGGCTGCAACCTGTTACATCGCCAAAAGGTCGACTTTCCTCTGCCCAAAAAATGTCGCGCTTACCACCACATGGACCTACACGTAGACATGTTTTAACTTACCGTTTCCAGTGGGTTTGTGTGTTTCCTCACAGGCAGTGCACTCACTTCCGAACGATTTGTACCTTACTATGTGCTTTGGACTATATGTCCGCAACTAAAAAGCGTAAGAAAGACATGATCACTTACACATACTATTACTCACAGAACGATCTGATGGAGACGTAACATATCACGGTTGACAAAAGTAATACATTACTATTGCTCATGTTTTTACCTTGATAAGATTTCAGCTTCATGTTGTCGAACACTTGGACGATGCAGCTGCAGGCTATTACCTCAGGAACAAACGATTGAACCAGTTTGATTCAGTATGGCATCGTCTGCTGGCACTTTTATGTACACTTCTCCGGCGGCACTCTGCCAGCTAGCTGACCTAAAACTGTAAGCGCGAAGTGTTAGTTCAAACGGCAATTGATTGGTATTGGTTGGGAAGCGGTACTGTCTAGGTTTTCCAACAGCATCCACGTTACAGTATAATTGCCTGATGTAATTTCAGACATCGATCAAGACCTTGTCTCGGACTTTCTTCAAAGTGTTGTGGGGAGACTTCGCGGTATGTATGTATGTCGCCGAAGTATACACGCGACGATTTCTTCATTTACCACAGTGATTCAGTGTGAAAACACAACGAGTTATCCAGGCGCGTCATAAGTGATTCCGTAGTTGTAAAACAAGAGCCTTGACAGCTAGTTAACAAATCCTTGGAAAAGCGGAAATTCAAGCCTGCTTTTCTACTATTTTGCTTGATCCAAAATCTTGGACATTTTGGCATTGGTTCCGCGGGCTTGGCTGATTTCAACCACTGATATTTTTGGCTACTGATAACTTGGGAGTAGAAGGAAGTAATTACTGTGCTTCCGACAGCGGCCACCAGTCTAGCTGGTCTGACAGGCATGTCAGTATAACAAAAGGTAGTAGGATTTCCCAAACTGGTTTTAACAATTAAGCATATAGTTTGATGGTTTGTAAACTGTACCAGGATACAACTGATAGACAGTTGCAGAGTTCAAGAATTCTGGCTCTCGAACGATGTCAGATATTTCATTTGATGCGGATGCGTCCTGGTTAGCAGTACCCACGCTGAAAACACAATGAGTCGTCAATTTATAAAAGACTTGCCACCATCTTACTCTGATAGAATGTAGCACCTTTATATCTTGCTAATTCTAAAGCCTCCTTTCATGTCTGGTGTCATACGAAGTTTACCCGACCAAATTGTGAAGATCTAGGGAACGGTTGGAGATCTGCTGTTTCTCTCTGGTGAGTTGCTTCAGTAGGGTTGAGCTGATCCAAAAGCGAGAATCTGGGTTATTTGTCTGGATTTACGAAACTTGCCTGTCATGCAGATCAAGGATTTTTAGCCACTTGCTTAGATATCATTACATTTAACATTTTGTCTGTTGCCTCGTCGACTAAAACAGAACTTTCGTATTCAAGTCAGGCGTTTTCCTACCCACCATTTAAGGAACGACGAATCTATTTTCCAACAAATCGCGGTAGGAAAAATCATAGAAAAGTACCACTCTCGCGAGGCCAAGAAGTGCGTCTGGTACAAGTTACGTGGTCGGAGTGCTTGATCATGCGGAAAGAACGCTTCATCTAAACTCGGACCCAAGAATTACGAATGCGGAATCCATTTGCGCACTCCACCAAGGTGGTCAGAAATAAGAAAAAACTGCACAAAAGACAATTTCCTAGCGATGTTTTATGCGTATTGCAGCTGGAAATTCGTATGAGGGGCCAAGAAGTGGCTCCTGGTACGTCAGAGGGGGGACACACTGTACGCAGAAATGTTAAAAGAAGGTGAATCAATCCAGGCCAAATTAACGCATTTGGATAAAAGTACTTAAACGTGCGCACACAGCCACAACAGTCATGTAATCAGACCGGTCAGCGATAGTTCCGTTGTTTACTTGTAGATGACTGAGGTTAACTTTGGGTTACTCATTTCTGTTCCCTTTTCATATCGGTCACAGAAAGCCTGTAGACCACAGATGCCGAGCAATAGTGATCTCATGTATCCAATCCACACAAAGCTCTTACACTACATTCATAAAAATCGTCGGCCTGGTTTCCTTTGCCTACCTGCTAACGTTTTAGAAATGGCGAGTTTTCGAGAGCCTGGAGGTGACGCATCGGCTCAACCAGTTATTATGTTTGTGTCATGCTTTTGCCAAAATAACTGAGAGAAAACCGACAGTCAAGTTTACGAACAACTGAATTCATTTGCTATTGTTTCCAAAATGCATTGGTTGCGGTGGACAGGTCATGAATGGGTATAAATTATCAGCTTACTGAAACCAGGCACTGTTTTTTCCTGTCCGTTACTTCAGCAAGACTACCACTCGCACTATTGAAGAGCTAACGGTCACAATCACGGAGATGGAGGTGAAATACAAGTCAGAGCTTTCCCGATTAAAGAAGCGATACGAGTCCAACATTGCTGAGTTGGAGCTTCAACTTGACACTGCGAATAAAGCAAATGCAAACCTGATGAAAGAAAACAAGACTCTTGCACAGCGCGTCAAGGACCTCGAAGCATTCTTGGAAGAAGAACGTCGTCTTCGCGAGGCTGCAGAATCGAACTTGCAGGTAAATTGGGCATACACATCAAAGTATCGTATAATTACAAGGGGGCACGAAGGGGTCGTGATTTGATAAAACATGGCCTTCAGAATTTGATGATCGTACTTTTCTCTTTCAGGCTAGCGAACGCAAGCGAATTCAGCTATCAAGCGAAATTGAAGAGTTACGTGGTGCATTAGAAGCCGCAGATCGGGCACGCAAGCATGCTGAAAATGAAATGAACGAAGCGCAGACTCGTGTTAGTGAGCTCACAATGCAAGTCAACACGCTGACCAATGATAAACGCCGTCTGGAAGGAGACATCAGCGTGATGCAAGCGGACATGGACGAAGCAATCAACGCGAAAGCGGTAAGAAAGGCAACTGAGGCTAAAACGGGTACAATTTTACAGTCACCGAAGGAAGTATTTAATTAATTCTTTACTTATTACGGGTGCGACTCAAAATGTTAATGTATACATAATATTTTAGATTTGGAATCGGAAATAGATCAATACAATCGACTGGAACGCTGTTTGAGGAGAACCTATACGAATACTTTTGATAGGTCTGCAAGTTCTAATAAACGGTGTTTAATTATTTCAGTTAATATATCTTGCGCGCATACAAAACCAATTAAATAACAAAAATTTGCTTGCGCCTTTTAGAAACGCTGTGTCTAGTCCAGAAAAAGTCACCTGGCAATCAGATGATCTTCTCACTTCCACTCTCCATCTTACTGTACTCTATTCGAAGGCTGACAATTTTACCCGCCTGCAGTACTACTTGAAAGGAAAAAAAAATGACAGATAACTTCTCATGCGTCTCATACGCAAAATTTATAACAGTCTCAGTCCTAAGTCAGATTGTGATCAACGCTTATTTACTGCTCCAGGGCACCAGTCCAGTAATGCGGTTTGGTGTGTGATACGCCCAATTAGTAATGAGTATTCCGCCGATTGTGAATGCTTTTCAAACTGTGAGCGAACCGATTATATCAACTCAGAAAGCAAGAAAATAGAATCATGTTCTACTGCTCTAGATCTATGCAAACCCGTTTAGGAAACTGCAGAGCTAAGACTGATTAGCTTGTTTACTTTACCTATCTTTAAACCTTAGTCGCCAACTAAGTGATAAAAAGGAAATGCTTAAAATGTTCTTTTGAATCAGGAAAAACATTTACTTCCATTATTTTTTATGATACGAGGCAATCGAAATACAAACACGAATACAAATACGCTTAACCCATCAACGTTTCCATTCTAACAAATTCAAACGAGTCCTTTTTTTACGTTGGAATCAATTCAAGACACAGCAATACAATGAACTGCCAGCCTCTCCACTTCGGTATTAAAGTTTGAATTTAGCTGCATGATCGAGGCCACAAAAACCCAGATGAGCTGACCCATTTCCGTTCAAAGCCGAAGCATGACTAGGGTCCTAGGCTTTCATATCAGACTTGAACGCAAAGATTTGTTCCTTGTTAGCTCGTCTCCTCACTGAGTTAAAACAGTGTACTTGTTGTCTGTGTCACGTCTTTACCTACTTTTATTCCGGTACAAATCTATTCACACCCTAATGGCCGTGAATATTGATAATATTGTTTGATGTGTCTCCTCAAGAGATATAGACTCATGAGAACACCTACGAAGACACAAGACTGCCGTAAGAGCTTTTCAGTACTTTCTAATGGTCGATCAGGTGACTACATCATATTGGAGACAAACGAAGAATAATTTACTCGAATGATTATTCTGTGTCCAGACAAGCCGCTAAGTGCACCGCCAAATTTGGGGTGAAGAACGAGCGGGAGTACAAGACAAATTACTGAATAGCATCGGAGTTTACGGTCAACAGGGACCAGACAAAGGAATGTTATTAATGATGAAGTAATGCGATTTGTGGACAAGCGGCAATAGGAGGTCCAGCAGCTGATGGACTCACCAAGACAATATACGGGTGTGTGGGAATACATGAGATGCAATCGTATTCATGTATCAATGGCATGAAGTTTGTTAGTCCCTTAATTTAAAACATGTCTGAAAAGTACATTGCTCTACTTATGTTCACATCATTTACAGGGTGCCGAAGACAGGGCTACGCGCCTCAACTCTGAAGTGCTTCGACTGGCCGACGAGCTTCGACAGGAGCAAGAAAATTACAAACATGCTGAGGCCTTGAGAAAACAACTTGAGGTGGAGATTCGGGAGATCACTGTCAAGCTGGAGGAAGCCGAAGCATTTTCGGCTCGTGAAGGACGTAGAATGGTTCAGAAGTTGCAGGTACGTAGCCTAACGAATGTTTTATTAGACGGGATTCGTGAATTCTGTTGCAAAAGACTTATTTTTTGAGGCTTGACTATTCCAAAGTAACTTTTTGTCTCAGGTGGTCAAGAAGTTATGTTCCCTGTAGTTTTTATGAATAACCGTGGACCGTCATCTTTGTGTTCACTTAAGACTCGTGTTCGTGAACTAGAAGCTGAATTTGATGCAGAATCTCGGAGATGCAAGGAAGCTCTGGCTGCAGCCCGCAAGTTCGAGCGTCAGTACCGAGAGCTCCAGACACAAGCCGAAGATGACCGACGAATGGTGCTAGAGCTTCAGGACTTGCTGGACAAGACTCAGATGAAGATGAAGGCTTACAAGCGCCAGTTGGAAGAAGCGGTGAGTTTTGCTCTTCTCAAATTTATCGCAAGAAGTGTTCATGTGTCAACACACTTCCTCACTAAAAATTTCTCAATAAAAATGCGTTTTTACTTCGTTAAACGGAAGAAAATACGCGCACCAGCATAATGGAAAATAATAATTTCATTTGCGGGTGTAAGCTGATTTTCTAACAGCACTGGTGACTGATAACTCAGTTTTCCAGATTAATCTTGAAAATCTGTGCTTATCGAGATCGAAACAAGTGTGACGTGATCTAATTGAGTGTTTAGCTTAATCTTTTTGACGCATTAACTCAGACTTCATGATCGTAGTGTCTGCTAATCTTGAAAACAATGTTCAGGAAATACAAACGCGAATGGATAGGTGGCTCAGTATATATTATCCATCAGTAGTTGTTGGATATTGCTCAATAGGTAGAATGTTGGAATGCTGCTCCATGAAAGTCCTTCATCAGTGCAAAAATTTACTGTTTACGACCCTTAATTTAGATTGCAGATGTGTTATTAACGACGTCCTAATGTTTGTTTTATACAGCAAAGATGATCTACAAATGGATTTGTCGACAGCTTCATAAACGTTGGATGAAATAGACTGTCGGGTGCTCCGACCTTTTCGAATTTTTAATCCGAGTTTGAATGGACGTTTTAAAAGTTCAAATGTGGACTGGCGGTTTTCAAGCTGCAATGGGGTATTAAGGTAGCTCCGTGTGGTTTAACCTGGTCCCACATATTTGTACAACAGCAGTTCATTCACGAAGGTTCGGGACACTCCAGCCACAGCGGAAAAATCACTGCGTCCGATTTTAAGCGAAAAGTGCTAAAAACCGTCTTGTAAACAAACTACGATTTAGGGGTGTGAGAGCTAGCACCCACTCGCTTATCTTCTCACGTGGGAGTCCCCGTTGAGATTATTATAGGGACTGTTCCTCCGCAGTCATCTACGCTGATTTTTTGAAACTCCTGGCTTGACCCGTTTACACCAATATATTGCTGAAATATGCAATTCGATAGGTTGAAAGTTAGGTGGAAGACACTGGAGGTAAAAGCGTATGAAATGACGCGGAATGGATAAAAAATGTCCGAAACTACCAGTTTACAGGGTACGAGTGATTATGAAAAATTACTTTGGGATTAAAAGCGTAGTGATGGGAAGATCCGATAGCCGTTCAATTCAAACCTTCGATGCTAATTTGGCTCACTTTATTAAAGGACCAGGTCAGTGTCTCCCTATGTCTGAGCTCACCCCACACCGTTCAGTACATGGACCGATATGGTCTGCATACTGGCAAAGCGGGTGGTCATATTGCTTCGCGCATTGTATTGGCTCGGCGTCCTGATTCCACAGTTCTTTTTCTAGAGAGTGGCCCTTCCATGTGATGACCCTTTGTCCTCTGCTCATGACATATTTCGAGGAAGGGGTTGAACAAAACTTCTCTATGGGGGAAAATCTTGGTAGCTCAAGTAGCGTAGATGGTCGTTAGTTTGTTCGTTGAGCTGTACATTTTGCTCGTAAACGTTTCAACACCACTAAGTTCCCCAAAAACTCACCGATGATGTCACGATGATGGTGACGAAACGTTTGCAATCGAATAGCCCGGCTCAATGAGCAGAACTAGTATAACATGGAGAGACTACTGTTCTAGCCCTTATCCTCGAGAAGTTAGAGGCAATTTTCACCAAGATTTTTCGCTGCACCAAGCAGTCACGTTGGAGACCTCACTCAGTTTGTTCAGACATTAAGTCACGACATGCATCTTCATTCCAGCCAGAGCTAGATTGAGGACTTTCTAAATAAGACACTAGACATTTTCGGTGTTTTTCGCACAGGCAATGCTGGCTCAAAATTAGAACTCCAAAGACCGGTGTAGACCATACACGCGATGCGTCTACAGTTGGTGATCTTCAGTCACTGTATCAACCGACTGAAACTGCTTTTACCATAGTCAAGGATCTCCCAGTGGTGAAATTATTGAGTGATAGAAATAGTTAATAAGGTTGACTGGCTCCCTAAATTATCAGGTTTGGTATGAAACCGGAGGGCCGGTTGCACGCGAAGAGAAAACTGTCACTAATTCCCCCCTAGGCTATCTGTGTGTTTATAAATCTGCATGAGAACTTGAGTATAAGTGATACATTTGTCACTAACGTTGGACCTAGTCTTGATAACCACTATTTCGCGCTCGACAAAGCCTGTGGGACCTAATAAAGCAGAAAAGTTAGGTTGTATTGATGGAAACAAAAACCGGTGATATGTTTCCTCGAATATTACAAATCCGTCAGAGCATATTTGCGGGGTGATTTACGGATAATGGGGAACGCAGTGGTAAAGTGAAAGCGAATGAAGCAGTCAGGCATGCAAAATCTAGGCTACCGTGGAAGATTGTTGAAGTTCACTGAGCATAGGGTATCCCATGGTTGTACGAGTCCAGAATATACAGGCTTTCAGTGGCTTAGTTACGGGACGCGATTGCTCTTTAGGATAAAGTACTAAGAGTAGAAAGTAAAAGTTAGAATGGTAGTAGAGATGTTGGTCCCTTTTCTTGAAGGCAGAGCTATTCCTGGTTTTTCGTTCCTTAGGAGTTGTTACTGAAGAACATTTTAGGTGGTTTTGAAAGAAGGCGTTTGCATCGCCAACATAACTAAAAAGCACACTGCTACAGTGGATTAAAGGGCTTGTATAACTTTGATGTGTCTATGGAAACGGTGTATAAAAGAGGCCTCCCGCCATGACGGTACCACAACTGACCCTACGTGAAGAAATTAGGTGAATTACACTCACACAAGTCGGAACTCCTTGTACCTGTATAGCCCCTCTCTGTGTGTACATCAGGATTCACATATCGTGCCGGGCGGGGTGTTTTTTGTGTTAGGTGTATGCGTAAGTATTCTTGGAACTAACCATTTGTATCAGATGAGTGAAAGATATGTAACAGCTGTTATCCATTTGCTGACTTTTTCAGCTTCACGGGAAAGTATTATGTTGTCCACGTTTTGAACCAACTTTGTCGTTGTCACGTACATTAGGCTTTGTTTTCTAGTGTTCATCACCAAGAATTTGTCCATTCAATAGGTGATCAGAATGATGCATACTTTCATGCTAATCTCTAGTTAACTATAAATTGTACACATTGCCTAGCTAAATCAAATCTGTCTGATCTCCGGTACGAAACCATGATAACTTCCCCACACAACTTAGAATTAGCAAGAACATATCAAACGGTATGTATTCAAGAAGAAAGGAGCATAGACTCAGTGTTTTCATAGATGTTCCATAAAAGATATTCAGCTGGGCAAGTCGGTACAAACTTATCCTGGAGACAAACGTTAACTCACTTTATGGCTCAGTGCATCTTGTTTTGTTCCTCATTTTCATCGACAGGAAGAAGTATCGCAGATCACAATGAACAAGTACCGCAAAGCACAGCAGCAGATCGAAGAAGCCGAGCACCGTGCGGACATGGCTGAGCGAACTGTGACAATTAAACGCATAGGACCGGGCCGTGCTGGATCCGTAGTTCGTGAATTGTCCGTGACCACCAACAGGGGAATGCGTGCGACGAGCATGATGTAAACTGCATCCGGCTTTGATCAATTCCCGTCAAATCCGATCTGTGCATCCGTTCAGTGGCAAACCTCTTATCACACCACATATTTCACCCCATACGTTGTATTCCTCTACCAGAACGCTTGGCTTATCTCTGTCTCTATCTTTTGTACTTGCAAAACTCCGATCCTTTCCCCTTTAGCAAAACTCCTTTAGCTTCTGACCTAGGAATAAATGTTTTTCTTTCATGGGTTATTGAACACAATAACCTTGTTTCATCTCCCCTTTCGAACAGATTTGAAAAAGGCGATACCGCGTAATCATGACAACGCCTATTTGAATATTTTGAGACATCGTTTCAACACTTATTCATGACAGAATTTGTGTTTCCGGGCATGTGAGACTTTATCATCATTGGCTCACACAAAAAGTCATGAATAGTGCCCTTATCACATCTACTTCCTTGCTGTTCAATGCACTTCAGTGCTTAATCCTCCCAGTTTTATTTCTTACGCTTCTTCAACGGACCCTCTCTGCTTGAAGCGTATCGGCGCTACACAAGATTGAACGCCTTTTTCAGCTAACCACTGTCCACTGAAGAAAACCAGAAACCCGAAAAATTATCAAATAACAAAGCCTTTATTTTGGCTTGTTAATAGCTATGTCGGTTCCTAATTGGTTTCTTCTCTTCCAATTGAAGAACCTCACCTCCTCATTCAAGTAGCGTGTGGTAGGAGGCGTCTATGACTTACTTTTGATTTATTTATCACGAACAACCAAACATTTCGTATTTTGTCTTTTTGAATGGTTTAATTCCCCAGTCGCTTCACCAAACAAACTGAGGACTATTACTTTGAAGGCAAAAAACGAGTCTGTGTACACGGATGTATGAATACTTCCAGTTACACATAGCTAGTTTTGTGCCCACTCCGACTTCGTAGTTTTCCAATGCTTCAAGCAGATGTTTACGCGACGTCTGTCGAGTTATCACTTCAAGTCACTTGCAGCATAAAGTTTTGAACCCCTTGATTTCCAACAAAGCGAAGCAGGTGAGGTTAAACTCGTAACAATCATGAATTGTCTGGCGTTTTAGTTTTATTTTTGGATCAATGATCATGTCGTTAGGCACATTCATATTTAGGAACCGATAAAGACGTGAAATTCGGGCATACTTTGCAAGGACTGTAGAACTAAGGAAGCAAGAACCTCAACCATTGTTAACTGCCGGGCCAGGTGAATAGCAAAAATGAGGAGAGTCCCATATTAATGTTCAGTGCCTCGCCTTTATGCTTCGCTCGAAAGCAGAGGCTTAGTAACATAGGGGCTATTTCAGGACGTTAAAAGACAAGTCAGTTTGCAGTTTGAACGATATGTACTCTTCTTTGCTGTGTTAGACGGATCATGACTTTAGCAAAAATGAGTCTCATATTTATGTTCAGTGCCTCGCCTTTATGCTTCGCTCGAAAGCAGAGGCTTAGTAACATAGGGGCTATTTCAGGACGTTAAAAGACAAGTCAGTTTGCAGTTTGAACGATATGTACTCTTCTTTGCTGTGTTAGACGGATCATGACTTGCTGTTATTTTAGGCAGAAGCTGGGGCAGAGTTGTCGCACTTGGTGGGAAAAAGTGGGTTTCGGGTCTACAACTTACCATGGAGATATGAAGGTGATTTCTATATCAAAGCTGGCATAATCAATTTAATAGAAAAGATCCTCACATAGAAGCAACTTTGTCATGCGAATCACTCTAAAATATCAAAAGCTTAGGAACCAGCCAAGTAGCAGTTACCTGGTAGAATGAACAGATGGTACATTTCACAAACAGGTCATCCTTTTCTCAGAAGGCAAACTTTCAGCTTTGATTTCGAAAGCTGTGGATTTTCTTTAAGATGATTACCGCCGGTCATCTTGAAAGACAAAAAAACGAACCCGTGTTGTGATTCTTCGTCAAGTCTTGTAAACCTCGGGGTGTAGCTTTGGAATAAAAATTCGGGATACTTTGGCCATAAACATAATCATGAAATCTCAAAGTACTGCAGAAAAAATGACGACGAATCCACCGCATTGGATGCGAAAAGGGTGTGAAAAACACTCAAAAATAATGTACGGTATACAAAAAATGTGACTTCGTAACAAAACTCGGTACCTCTTCATTTCTGAGGGTACTTTGCTACCGAAGGTTTTCCGACCTAGTGCAATTCACATTTAATCGCCTAGATCTGCAAAATTGCGATCCTCGACCAAAATGGACTTTCCTGTGCTCCCCGCGAACTTTCATGACCTAACTAGTGGACACGTTCTTCTATTCAAGGTCCTCTTTGAACACGACTTTAGTTTCGGGTTTGAAAAGCTCATTTGTTTGTCCAGTCAGGCTCACTCCGATTGGCTTCGGTTGGCTTCTTGAACAATGGATAAAACTATACGAATGGCGGAAACAAGTTATTGTCTGAAGGCGTTGCTGGGTAGCAGGTGAATTGCGGCAACTCGAGTTTGAACTTTTCACATGCAGTTCTAGCGCAAAGTTGTAATTAGGTAAGTTAAATCTAATTGTTTTCGCAGCAAAGTCTTACGTGTCCTTCTAGCTGGATTAGGGCACACCCAACATAAATGAACATTGCGTTAGAATTGCATTGGAATGTAATGTTCCAATGCTTTGTCCTGTACACCACCATGCGTTATAAGTCTGACATGGCGAGTCCACTGAAACAACCAGTTTGAAAAACAGATTGACCGGATACCGTTTGCACAGTGCCATGTACACACCGTAGCCGTGTTGTGTGACATACACCACGCCGAGCAAATAACGTAAATGTTTCGTGACCGTCAAATCTAAGAAAATACCGATCAGATTTGAAAAAAAAACGGTATACTAAGTTCCAGAGTACAATGCCTTAAAGAATGTGGGAAGCCCAGTATTTCTACGGTACCAAAAGTATACTCTGTGCAGGTTAGGCAGGGTCTATTTGAATATATCAATGGCAAATTCAAATGGATAAATTTTGTTGCAGGAGACTTGGAAGGTGTTCGCATCTATCAAATTAATTTTCTCATCCATGCAATTTTTTCTCCAGGAGGACGAAAAAAATCACATTAGCACTGCGTAGGTGGGTAGTGATGAATACTAGCTGACAGTTAAGCTTCAAACATGAAAATAAGGTGCAATTTTCACAAAAAAAGACAAATGTCTTGGATAAAATTCGTGAGAGTTCAGTAATTCAATAGGCAGTGCACGTCTTTCTGTTTTTAGTACTTTTGTACCTGCGAACACAAAGTGTACACAGAATACTGGATTCAAGCTACTCGAATTCAACGGATCAGCAATGGGTTTTGAGACTCTCCCGAGGATGAGTTTTATATTACCGGTTGGACAATCTGCATCTGTTTAGAGTTGTACAAGAGTGAATGTTACTACATCGCTGAAGTTCCTCTGTAGGGATCCTCTCCTTAAATCCTCCAGATTTTCGGGTGGCTGTTTTCTGCACGGGTACTTAATTTTTAAACTCTTCATATAATCACAATATCAAAAAGGTTTTCACAGAATCCACTAATTACTTTATTCACTACATCTGTTAATTTTACACACAACTGAATTATTGGTCGTTCAGTTCTAACTGGGAAAAATCTCTAATGTGAAATCAACAAAGGTTTTATTCAACCCAATATGACAAATGTACAACCTACGGTTTCCACAGTTATGTGGACGTGATAAATGAACTGATTCACAAACGTAAGCAAAAAATCACGTGAGGATTTAAAAAGGTGTATGTTTTTTTTAAAACAATCGCTGAAATGTGATTAACAGAATATTACGGAAGGTAGGGGGTTGTCAGATTACTATAACTGGTAAAGATGGACGAGCATTAAGGTGCCTAAATTGTAATCGCTATTAATCGGAATTACCTGCCTAAACTTTGGAGAATTATCTAAATGCTCATCGTTTATAGAATTTAATGAGATTATTTAGGAACTATAGTGCATTTGGGTATGTGTTTTGGAAATTCGATCATGACAAATTAATCTTATACACAGAGAGTAAGAGGGAAAAATTCGAACAGTTAGTCGAATAGAAAGGACATGCGAAATAACAACTTGATACATTAGGTTTGAAACGTCCTCAGTCTTGTATCCCAAAGGAACGCTGAAACTCCAATAATGTAACTGGATATCGACTCTACTGGCTCACTAACCATGAGTTGATTAATCTGACTGTGGGCGTACTGCTTTTAGCCTTTTTAATCAGACGATATTCTGGAACTAGTGGACTGTTAATCAAATCTTTTTCCACGCATACTCATCCGTGCAACCAAAACAGTTGCAACGAAAGCTACTGAAAGCCAATGCTTCATTTCCGTCGTAAACTTCAATACCTTTATCAGTGAGTTAACTATTCTAGTGCAGCTAGGCACAAATGAGAACCGTTGACAAACCCCCTGTCCAGCTAAGTAAAACGTGTATTCCCTGTAAAGTCATACAAATAGTCATATACAAGATTTTATACGGAAATGCATGTAATATAGCTTTGTGTGAACCTGAATATTGATCTCCAAATATAGTTAAATGTCTTGTGTGCAGGTACCACGGACAAATTATTGTTCTAGACACTTCCTGTTGTTTGTGGTATGTAAGTTCTTATTCAAACTTGTTGATTAGCGAACTGATTATCTACGTTTATTGTACATTACTGTTCTCTGGAACCACTTGAGAGTTATATCGAATTGAATGGATGAAGGAATCTTTGACCACCAAACTCGACGCCGTGCTCCCTTGTTGGCAACAGGATTAAAGAAATGTTATAAGTGCTAAAAACGCGGTTTTTATTCAAGGCTAAGCATATACCACTCGACTGATCGCATTCCAGCTGTTAGGAACATAAACTGAAAAAAAAACAAATGCATCACGTACCTGCTGATTTTTTGGATGCCTTTTCTAGAATTGATTTTTTTTGGATTTTAGCTGTCGCGTCTTCAGAACCGCGTGTTCTTCTCATTTCAACAACTTTTGTTCAAAAACCCGGATCAGTTACGATCA